GTGTGGAATTTACGCATGTTCCAAAAACCTATAAAAGACTCCGTAGTCATTGATTTCGCTCTCAGTCAGTGCCTATATGCTTTTAGCATGTGCGTTCCGAAATAGCCGGTGTTGTGTCAGCACCTCCTTGTCGTCTTCTCCTCGTTACTGCCGGACCGTGGCCAAGGCTGACATGTGGAAGCCGAATCTCGGGGATCGACACTGGAACTGGGCTGTTCCGGCGCAGAGTGCGGAGGTGCTTGACCCGACGACCGCGCTCTTTTAGCCATGGCACTGACTGGGCGGGGCCCAATTTTCTTGCGTTCTTGTGTTGGCTCCTTAAGGTAATTGTACTCGGCCGAATATAATTTGCCTCTTCGCATATTAATGTGTTTTTGCCGGCTTGCTAATTTTCAGTGTAATTAATTCTCCTTGGCTGTGCTAATGTATATAATTTCCTTTTATGCTTTTGACTGTTCAAATTTACGATGTTCTTGCATGAGAAGTTTAAGTTGCAGCAAACCACTAGATTTACTTTGTTTTAATTTATTGCTTGCTGATTTAAGCTAATAGGCTAATTAAATGTTATTCCAGATTAGTTCCTTTATTGTCCTTTGCTCGTATGTTTTAGTGTCCTGGTTCCTGTCTTTTGATTTTTCTTCTGCCGTGCATTCTCCGCACGTAACAATACTCAGTCTCAGACACTGGTACCCATGTCACACCACTGCCATGGCAAGCGCAGGAGTCTCAGAAGTTGGTGCCTAAACTTGGTAGCTGCAATCAATTTGTTTGAAAGTAAATCTTTATTCTGTGCTGATAATTCTTAAATGACCGTGTAACAAATTTGCAAAAGAAATTGACTGACAACAGGTAAAAATTATCGTCTCTACAATGCAGAAACGGAGTAAGTGGTCCATATTTTATTCACCCGGAATTTCCAAAAATGTTGTGTGCCCTTCATCAGTTACGGTACCTGCCAACCCCGTCTTTTATTATAGCAGTACGTCGTCGATACTGCGACCTTCCGGGCGCAATCCGTCCTCGGAATTTCTTCTATCTAATGCATGTACCTTTACTTACGAGAATTATTGTCTTCACCAATATGGAGAAAAGTTTAAGTGTCTCCAGAGTAAGCATACTGGCACCCAAAATGTAGATGTATTTTGTTGTTTTAACGAGTGGAAGTAACGATACGCAGTTTTGCTGCGAGCTGTAATTTTATCTTTGCAAATGCAGATAA